TTTTTTTCTTTAATAAATGTAAAAAAATTATAAATTGTAAATTGTATAAGAAAATAAAAATTAAAAGTATTATTTTAATTTTAATTTTATTATAATATTAATAAATAAATATAAATAGTTAATTTTATAAAATAAAAAAATTTAAAATTTTAAGAAAGAAAATTTTTCGAGGAATTGGAATTTCCAAATTGAAAAGTTTTGTCAAACATTTTGTCTAAAAGATGAAAGACAGTTGACATTTTGACCAGCCCTTATTCGCTTACCGAACCCGCCCCGGATCCGACACGGGTCTTTTGAAAACCCCCCAATAAATGAACAAAACACGTCTCCATAGAGGAAGGAAGAAAAAAAAATAAACTAGAGATCTGAAGAGGAAGGAAATTCTCGAGTGAGTCACGGCTGAATCGCCGTCGATCCAACGTCACTGAGTCTATGGAAGGAGTGGGAGCTCGACTCGGACGCTCCTCTACTCGGTACGGACCTGCCACGGTATTCACCGGGCCGGTGCGGAGGTGGAAGAAGAAATGGGTACACGTTTCCCCACCTAACAACAGCAGCGGCAGCAGCAATCACTCTCAAAATCACCAGAGTGGCATCAACGGTACGACGAACGGTAATAATGGTTCGCATCTCGTGCTTTTCAAGTGGACCCCAATATCTCAGAACCAAAACAATAACAATGGGGACAGCCGGGACACGACTCCTGTCAAGGAGGATGGGGTGGTGGCGCCTGAGGAGCCGCCAAGACGTAAATTCAAATACATACCGGTAATTTGCTTTCAATTTCCCTTTTTGGGTTCTGGGTTTTTTCATTTTTTTGCATTTGTTTCAAATTCCCAATTCAAGTTTTTGTTTTTATAGTGAATTCTGTTTCTTTGTTGGTTTTGATATGATCTACAATGTTATTTTGATGGAATAAGTATCATTTGTAGTATGTGTGATGAGCTGAGCGCTCTGAATTGTGGTCTTGGTTGTGGGATTGATACTGTTTTAGGGTTCTGTGGGCGGTTTGATTCGGGGGATAGGAGTGTTCTTGTGTGGCTGAATGTTTTGAGGAATAAGAAAGGGGGTTCTTGAGAGTTGAGACTAATGAGGCTCATAGGGAGGTAAAGTAAGTCATGGAATTTGTTGAGAAATGGTAGACTTTCCAGTTAATCATGATGAGGTATTGTGAAACCGTAGATTGTGTCAAAGATTGATTAAGGTTCTTTGCTGAGACGCCAAGATGTTGACGCTGGTTGGTAGATGCATCATTGTTTTCACCGTATTTCAACTAAGGATAAAAGCATACGACATTCATAGCTCTTACTGTTGGGAATTTGGGTAGAGACTTTGGAGTCTTTCTATACCCTGTTTGACATGAATACTGATTGGTTAGTCAGAATGCTCAGAAAATTATAATAAATGCATATAACTTGCTTTGACTTTTGAACCCTTACCTTTGAAATTAATCAGAATTTGAGTCAATCAACATAATGTATTAATGCATGGGTGTCTGGTTTTACACAAGTTTATAATAACTTAAGTACATATGATTTCTCTTTCTGAACTTATTTAAGTGGATAATGGAGGTGGCATTGAAGTGTGTGGTAGACAACTGAACTTTTTGTTAGCCTTTATTATTATTATTTTTATTATTTTGGCCTTCTTTGTTAGCCTTTATTTGTTCACATTATTTTTGTAATAAATTCTGCACATTCATTCATCATTTGATGCTGGGATTGACTGTATAAAGCATCTTAATGTCTTTGAAACTCATGCTATATGCATGCTTGGTTGGGGGACATGCACTTCTCATATGTAACCAGCTGCTGATATTTGTTATAGTCTATTTTAGTTCCTTGTTGGTAATGTGTATATCTTGCAGCATCAGTTAGCAGATTGATACTTTTCAGTGATATTTTATTTCATGCTCTGTTGTTGAACAGAGATGGTAAATCCAGCACATTTTGAGAGTATGATGTTCATTTTGAGGTTCCACTTCTGGCATTTTAAACTAAAGTCAGGGTTGGCATTCTGCATTATGTTAGTAATTAATGTTGAACTTAGCGCAGCAGCCAATGCTTTGTGTTTTAGCAAAATTGACTCTTTTATACTAATTAAATTAGGGTGATCGTTTTCTAGTTGGTCTCATTTTATTTGTGAATAGATGATCATTTTAGCAAGTTGACAATGCAGATTGCTCTCCTAGAGGAACAGAAAAATGAAGATGCAGAAAATGAGGCCACGGAGAAGGTTGAGGATGAAGCTAAACCAACTGATAACAACCCTAGTGTTACGGAGCCAGCTCACAAGAGTAATGGTTTTAATGAAAAACCTGACATTAATGATGTCCCCATTGAAGAAAGTCAGGTGAATATCTTGCTGAGCTGTCTTTTCAGTTCTCTGTCTCTCTTTCTCTCTCTCTCTGCTTTGAGTTGTGTTTTAGGAACCATTCTATGATCAGATGCCTTCTAGAGGCTTCCTCTACAGAAAACCTATTACCACTAATGGATGAAGGCTCTTGCAATCTCTTGCTAGAACTGAATTATGGCCATACAAGTCTACATAGGATTTCTTACAGGTTTCCCACTTTGGTTTGGTTCATGTTATCAGTGAGAGAAAGTTACATTTTCTAGAATGCTTGGTAAGGGAAAATTCAGTCTGTTAGTTATAGCTTGTGGACATTGACACCATTAAACTTCATACCTTGTCTTGAGCATTTTTGTTTGATTATCTGAAAGGGTGGATGTAATGGTCACTTTAACTTTGATATTTCTCTCAGGAGGATAATAAAGTAGTACGGCAAGATTTGAATGAAAGCACATTGGATTTGAGTTTGGGTTTGACAACTCATGATGCTGACTCTGGTTCAAAAATGGATAAGTCAAGCCAAGGAAAAATGGAAAGACTGAACTCAAAGTAATGCTGCAACACAAGTATAGGCCTTGTTCAACTTACATTTACATGCAGATGATTAGAAGAAACTGGCATACATTTTATGGCTGATCTATACCCTCCAATTTTCACTTCACAGCCCTGCTCTCACCTAGCTGGTAGTTGTCTTATGTTTGTACCTCTTGTTTTTCATTTGATTTGATGCTCCTTTGCTGAGCTCATTAAAACTTGTATTCATTGAAAATGGAGTTGATAAAGTCTTATTTTTTTCTTGAACATTGATTATTTTTTCCCAAGTTTTCTAGGACATGTTGGGACTGTACTAATTGGATAAACATACGAAAAATTTCGTTCTCTCCATGGATTTCATATGAATTTTTTATGTTGTTTAATGCATATGGAGATTGTTAGAGAAAAGATGTAGATAAAAGATAGAAGCCTTTTCAGTTTTTTTATTTAAAGATGTAAATTTTAATAATTTTTAAATAATATAATAAAATTTTTTTTTTTATTTAAAGATGTTAATTTTGAATTTTATATTTAAAAATTAATTAAATAGTTAAATAATTTATTTATCATATTAAAATTATTATTTAATTAATTTTTAAATAAAAAATAAAAAAATTAATATTTTTAAATAAAAAATTAAAAATATACAATCTTATTTAAAAATTAACAAAATTTATATTATTAAACAAAAAATAACAAAATTCGTATTTATATATATATAGCTTATTCTTCTTTAATTAATGCATTAATTAATGCAATGGGATTTTCAAGTACAACACAAAATTGAGTAACCAATTAAATTTTTTTAGCCAATTAGAAACCATTTTCCACTTCAATTGCTCCAGATCTTTCATTGACTTTGCAAGGAAAATGACAATCAACATTCAGTCACAAATTTCCACAAGGCATACATGAATACAAAGAGCCTTATTAGGGGCAGGAATTTGCCCAAACGTTCACAGGAATAAGCAGTGGGGGTTAAAGCATTTCCACAAATAACAATTAAAGCCTGGAAGATCTTCACCATCATTCCTTTACAACAGCTAGTTTTTCCTCAGCAAAGAAGTCATGCCTGAAAATAAGAATGAAAATGTTATAAGAAGTTGCATCAGTGTCCCAGAGGTGCTGCACCCAATGGCAATAACAACCTTGGAAGAACAATGAGGTAAGTAACATAGAGAATTCCAGTAGAAAACTTCTAGAGGATGGTGAACCACCCAACAGCAGAGAAGTTTAAAATGACTAGATATTGCTATCATCACAAAATGGTACAGAAACGATTAAAGAATAAATTCATAGAAGACTTACTGAATTTTGCGTGACAGTTGGTAGAGGCCTGTTCCAGCCATCGCAACGTTTACACTAAAGAGATTCCAGTTTTTCTGCAATTCAGGGATCAAGATATTCATGCATAAAAAATCTATTCTTCTTACAGAAAAGTGGTCCATCGTTTTTCTTTTCAGATTATTACAAAAAAAGAAGGTCTTATTCTCAACATGCATCATCAGGTGGTCATATAAATTACGTCAAGTAGTACAGAAGCCAGAGTGTCACTATTCTAAAGGTAGCTAATATAACCAATCATCAACTTTACCGGAGTGATTACAGTGCTGTAGCGTGACCAGATCATTCCAGTGCATGCAACCGCTGAAACCAAAATAACAAGAGTAAGAAAACTGATAAAGCAATGAATCTCAGTCTAGGAGCAAGAATACTAGACCCAGATATGAAAAATAAATTGATCTTGAATATAGAAGTTTACATAACATGTTTGCTCATATATCCGTGTAGATTGACGGTTGAAATTAGCTAATGAATATTATACTTCTAAATCATGGCAGAACATACCTATCTGCTGAGGATATGAAAGGTTTTCAGCAGGCTTAGAGAAGTCAGCTACATTGGCTATGGTGATGCCCCACTTAAAAGTTGGTGCCCAGAAATGAACTGCAATTTAAAAGAGGTTTCAACTCAGCCAGTCATGTTGACAAAATTGACTTTAAAAAAAAGGAAGATTTTTACGACAGGATCCACTCAAATTTGTTAGGTCCATAGACAACCACCCTTGTTCTTAAAGGGGTAACTACTAACTAAAGCTGAAGACATTGGTGCCTGTTTCGACCACCTTCAATTTTTTACAGCAGAAATCTTTTCAAAAGCTTGGCCAGAGCTTTGTATGAAAAGAGGTTCTGTCTTTCCTAAAAATCGTTTTCAACTTCTGAACAGCTACAAAGCTACAAACTTGTAACTTCTGGACAACAATTTTTGTTGTTAAGCTTCTAAATTTGATAAAATTTACCAATTATTAAAACTTTCTATGATTATTTTCACATAAACACCTGATCAAGCACTTAAGCAAACAAAAAAGGGCTTTACTCTAACACCACTTCCACAGAAGCTACCGCTACCCCAAATAAGCTAACTCAATCATGCTTCAGTAATATTGCAATCTAACCGCTAATCACAGTCACAGTTGTGATTGGACAAATCAAATCCAATAATCACATTTCCTTACTAACATTTTTCTTCCTTTTTTCTTTAAAAAGCACCCAAGTTTTATTTTTTTTTTTTTCCAATTTTATCTCTTGCAACTGTTACACAAACAAACAAACAAACAACATGGTACCAAACGAAAACGACAGCCAAAAAGACAACAACCATTTTTCTTGTAATTAACCATCCAAATTCGTAAATCGTAAATCTAAAACTGCATCTGATGTTATCCCCATGAAAAATCAATCAATCAGTCATGTCGGAATGAGATGAACAGAGCACATCCCGAACCAATGCAAATCAAAACTCATGCTTTTCAATTAAGAAAAAAAAAAAATGAAACCAAACCCATCTCCCAAAAAATGGGTAGGAATGACTTAATGAATGAAGCAAAAATTAATGGACTCACTGGTTTTTGGTCCAGCGGGGTGATTCCACAGAGCCTGAAGCTTGGATGCCGCCATGGATTCAGCTCTTTCTCTTTGTTTTTTTTTCGCTCGGAACAACGACGTCGAAACTTGAAAACAGAGATTTCGTTTTCTCCTTCTCCGGAGGGGGAGAGTGATTGATGAGATCTGCAGTCGCACGTGGTAGGTGGCAGTGCTTGAAAATTTTAACCAATCATATCTTTCCACGTCATCGCCAACAGCACTTTTTTCCAATCAGGACTGCGCTCGCTACCCCGCGCTGAATGAAAATACTATTCCAAATTTATTGGTAGTAGTCGTACAAAAGGAAAATAATTCAGAAATATTTTTTTATTGTATTTGGAGATAATTTTATATATTATTTAAATAATTAATTTTATTTATTTATTTATAATTTAAAATATTAAATATATTTATTTATTAATTAAAAATATATTTATTTCACATGTCAAAAAAAACTTGTTAATATATTATAAATTATATTATTTGAAATATTCAAAAAATAAACTTAATATTATTCAATAATTAATTTTTTATTTTTTAA